CCTTGAAGAGGACGGATGCATCTGACTTTGGTATTTCACCTGTGACCCTTCTGCCTTGGGTGACCCTGCTAGTAGTCCAGACTCATAATGGATTCTGGCCTCCTGGCAGCATTGCTCTCTACTTTACACACTCAAACCCTTTGACTTTGTCAAAATATGCATCCAAGAAGGGGCAAACAGACTACATTGCAATATTTTGAATGCAATCTCTCCATGTCCTTTGTCAACCGCATTCACACACTATGCCTTCATTTCCACTATGCATTGCCATTAAGGTTCATGTTTTTGTTATCGAACAAAAACCTCACTCCCAGCTGTGGCGCCAAAATCTAGTGCACACTGTAAAAGTAACTGACAGCTCAGATGTGTAGCTTAGTGGAGGCCTGGAGTAATTCTACCAATCAGAGGCTGGCTTTTTCACAGAGCCACACATGTTTACAGACTGCATTCTGCCGGTAGGAAAAAACGGTTTGAAGAAAAACCTGAAATGGACTCTTAGGAGGATTGTATTGGATTCCTTCCTTCAGAAATCTCAGACAATCCAATATTTTCCTGTTCAGAGGGGTGCAGCACAAGGCAAGTAGTATTTATTGCAGCTAAATTTCTTAACATGTTTGAAATGTCACTAAATGGGAATTTTGGAAGTAGAAGATTAATAGTTTGGAACATTTTTCCAAACATCTATTTATTACTCATTGCTCACTATTTTTAAAGGTGCCTTGCTATCATTATTTATAATTTAAATATTAACATGTTAATAATGTGCTACTTTTTAATTATTATTTTAATACATTTTTAAACAATCTAAAATATCTTACTATTAATTCCCACACACACATTCGCCAAAAGCAACAGTTAGAAATTATTTGTAAACATTACTTGTTGCATACACCCACACCCAAAACAGTAATGTTATAAGCTGATACTTTGTTTTGCAACAGCATCTTGGCTCTCTCTAAGAATAATGTGTTACTGAAAACACTCAAGATGAAAGGACTGTAGTATCCCAGCCACAGTATCTTTTTCTATATTAAGGTGTTGGTGAAAATGTTGCAGGCATGCTAAGTACCTACAAAGGCCTAAGGAACACAATTCTGTGACACCATATTATAGTAACAGTAACCCTTATCCAACACTCTTTTAAAAAGATTATTCAATTCCATTCAATGAATATCAATGATATTTGAACATTTTCATAGCCCATATCTCATATCTTCACCTAAGACTATGAAGTATATATATCACTTTGGGTCCATCTTTCATGTGGGCAGAAAATTGAAAGAAGGAATGTCTGAACGAATGAACTAACCCAATGTCCTCCAGCTGGGCTGGATTACAACTGCCATCATCCACAAACAAAAGACCACTGTTTATGCTGGATGGTGATGGTGGGAATTGATAGTGAACTTTTTCTGCTACAATGTGGCTTAGACTTTGGATGGCAAATTAAGACCAGTTAATGACCTGCTCCAGGTAGAGAAGAAAACTGCTAGAACCAGTTTGTTGATAGGAATCAATACTGATACCTATATTTGTTCACCTCTCCTTGAGGGCATAGCTATGGGAAATATTGATATTGGGTACCTGTGGTTCAAAATTTACTAACAGGTCACTAAAGTCATGTGAAGGATTTTGAAGCATCTTAATAAAGCCTGTTTTCACAAACAGGCCCAAAAGTTTATTGAAAAACTCCTAGTTACTTCACTGCTGATTACTGATTGGAATCCAACCCCAACTTATCTAACACTACGCCAAGGCCATGCAAAGCAGTAAGAATATTGTTCATTTCATGCACAAGAGCATTTGCCAAAAGTGGCAAACTACTGAGAACATTATGGAGTTAGGACTAAGGAAACCAACACACTTGTTTTGTCTTGTAGTCATTTGATTGATAGGCTTCCTGCCAAACAGATGAAAGAACTTCTGTGCTCAATGTAAAAAAGAAACAACTGTGCTCGCAATCTTAAATTCGCTTCGATTAGTAGGTCACTGGATCCCAAAGGAAGGGGGCTCTAAGACTTTGTAAAACAACTTCTCTTGCTGTTTGCATTCGCTCCTGGGGTCCTAGAGTGTTGAAGGGTGATGTACAAAGAACAAAAGAGACATCTGTAGAGTTGTTTCCCAAGCTTTTGTTACGGTGCACTAGAGCTTGAGCGAAAGCACACAGAGGGAAAGTCATGAGAGAAAAATAACACGGTCTTGATAACCATCACCAGCAATGCTTCTGTTTAGTGCAGAGGCTCTGTTTAGTACAGAAGCTCTGCCAGCAGCTATTTCCTCAGCTCATACTGTAAAATGGATAAGGATGCGGAAAGAGGCGATGGGTGTAGTGTGGATAAATACTGGCTTGTATTACATTACTTCAACTATTGATGGATGTGTGTGTGATCTATTGGAGGATGACTTCAGGACTGCAAACTCGGAGCTACTTTGTTCCTTCCTTCAGACTGAGGACCATATTCAATTTCAAAGAATTTTTGGGGGTGTGTGTGGCTACCAAGGTTTTCTAGCTTTACACTTTTACTCTCTGTAACTACAGTAATGCTGCAGACAGACAGTTCAACCTTTCAGAATACACTTCTTCCTTCAACAATGCTGGAGTTAAGGGTGCCAGAACTCTCATGTAGTTCAAAATCTGTGTATAATTCTACATCCCCCCAACATTACAAAGCATAAACAGTTGATTAAGACAATCAAACACACACACACACACACACACACACACACACACAGAACAGATTAGTTTATTGCATTAACTCTACAGCATGCTCCAGCACCCTCTCCAGTTGCCATGTGAAGCCACCATGCCAGTAGAGGGAGCTCACTGGACCTCCACCATTAGACAGGGGCTACTTTGCTGCCAACAGCAGGGACCCACCTTTCTCAGGTTACTTCCTGGTCACAAAGAGCAGCACAGTATTTATTGGATAGTCATTTATTAAATATTTATTTACTTATTTATTTATTGAAAAAAATCCATGTCTGCTGCTTGAAATTCATGCAATTCAAGAAGAAGAAAATCACATAAACCTGATCAGGTCCCAGAGAATGGAGTTTGTGATCTGGAGAACAGTAGAGGTCTGGGTTGGGACTGTAGAAGGACCAAATTTAACTCCAGGGCCTGCATTATATGGTGATAAAACTGTGCTTGTCCCCGTATGACCCACGTTCACACTGAGTACGTCTGTATGACCTAGGTTTGCAAATTAATGTTTCTTGCCTTCACACTTCTGAGTCCAGGAGCCTTTCCCCTCTAACCATTTCACCTGACACAAAAGGCAAGCAGGATATGTATTCTCGAAGGCTTTCATGGCCAGGATCTGATGGTGGTTGTGGGTTTTTCGGGCTCTTTGGCTGTGTTCTTCAGACCAAAAACCAAGCAGGATACTTTATTACCTTTCTGCTAATGGTTGCTTCTGGAAGTTGTTACTGGGTGGCCACGTGTGCCATGCATATTGCTTTTTAACATTAAAAAATAATAATTGTTGTATATATAATATTTGAAATTTTGAACAACACTCCATGCATCCAGGAAAGCTTGGGCTACGTCTTGCAGCAGTAGATGGTGGACTGTTCGTGTTTCCACAGAACAGGACTGTCCCTTTGGAAACTACGAGCTCTGTCTTGCTATGACAGGATCGTTACCAGTAAGTGTTCAAAGACAGCTCCCCGCTCCAGTTCACCTGCGGGTTCATGTTTGGGCGACCGTTTCCAGATTTACCAAAACCTGCAATTTAAGGTGTAGTTTTAAGAAACACACACGCTTAACCTACCTCCTTCTTTTAGCTTGGTTTTGATATCGCGTCTTCTCCTTCCGCACCACCTCGGATTATTGCCAGCACTTGTTGCTGAGCAGGTATGAAGGACTCCAGAGATTCAGGAAGCTTTGGCAGAAGACGCCCCGCCAGCCCAGCGGCTCCCCAGTCGTCGATGCCTTTGCTTTGGAAAGGCGAAGAGCTGACGCCGGGGCGCGCCTGGCAAGCCGGCGACTCCAGTCCGGGTTTTGAGCTTGGGGACTCGGGAGCCGCAAGGAAAGGCTAGCCGAGGGACCTCGCTGGCTCGGTCTCCGCGCCTCTCCCGCCCGCCAACAGCTGGGAAACATCCCCGGACCGGCGGGAAGGGAGCCAGCCCCCGAGCCCACCCGGGCCGCGGTCTCTGGAGCGGCCCGAACCGAGG